ATCAAGGCTCACTTCAACTGTCCTACTTTGCATAGAAATGACATGTGATTTCCTTTTTATTTTATTTTTTCTTTTTAAAGAAGAACAATCACAATATTCACAGGGAGAATTTGTTAAACTAGAAAATCATATTTAAGACTTCAAGGTATATATAAATTACAATATTCTCTTTAAAGAGGCCAACTTTCTATCAGGTGTGTAGGAGTGAATGACAGACTAATTCCCACACACACACAAGAAAATTTTGAGTTGCCCTTTTATCAAGTATTAAGTTACAACTGGCCCTATATATATATTTATAAATATATATATAATTTCTGTATTATACATATGTATTCCTATTGCATCTTCTTTACGTTTTAGTCCAATGTCACTTGACTATACAAATATGCAGAATAAACAAACCATTCTGAAATCTGTACTCTCAGGTGCCAGCATTTTGTACTAAAAACATGTTTAACCTTACTGTAATCTCCTATTTATGTGTTGGGGAGCAGATATCCTGAATATGTTATTAAAATTATATTATATTTAGCAGGTTAGAGATAATCTGCTGATTTAAGTAAACATGAGAATGAAAAGACACCACTAATATCTGCTCTCAGCACCTTCTTGCACCACTTCAAGACTCCCTAATGTGCATTTCACATAACAGTTAAAATCCTTTTATTTGACCCATTATCTAGTAGCTGTGGGATCACTGTACTTTCAAAATAATTAAAAAAAATAAATACAAAACAACTTTAAGCAAATATACTCAACAAAACCACATGATGAAAAAATGAACGATTATCAAAACTGTTTCTCTACAGCATACATTATTTAATTTAAGCATTTACTTTTCAGTGGACTATTAACATGATGCAAAAAGCAAGGTTGATGTCTTTTCCTTCACAACAGGTATAATACAATACCTAGACAGATGCTCTAGATAGATACTCCAGGTATGTATAACAGACTTGTACTGTGCTGAGAATTATCGATGATGAACCCTATTAACATTATCACAGTGCTCTCTAGAAAGAAAACACATGAAACTGCATTTAGCTTCCTGCCTTGAGATCCTCATTTTTTTTTTTGACCTGTATGTCAGTACACCTGGTTCATAGATCATTTCTTCTCACTGGCTAACACCCTAGAGGACAGAGTAACAAATCCCTTTGGAGCCAGCCTTAGTATTTCTCTTTACATTGTCTGTCAAGTGGAGTCAAGAAGGGACATTTGTTACCATCTGCCTAAAAGCATGGTCTGGAACCTGTATGTGTACTTGTGCATGTCAGCAGTTTTCCAACATATGTGCCTGAATTAGTCACTGAATTCATTATTAGGCTTTCAAATGTGTGACCCGATTTTTAGTACTGACCACTCAGACATCTGGTGATTTCAGTGTAAGCTGTGATTATTCAGCATCTCTGAACAAAATCACCCAGTGCAGTTTCCATTTTAAATCAATGGAAAGACGGTTGTTAAATTTCATAGCTACTGAGTTGGACTGTAGCTATTTAATCTTTGGCAACCACGTTTGACATTCTCAGCCAGGCATGGTAATCACATAAGTGAATCTGATAGCCACATGAAAACTGCAGTGTGATATAATCAAAAAAGTATCACAGAACTCAGATGGTTATTACTTTCTCTGTACCCCTTATTTCATCTGTCTTGTTACTTGAAAATCTTGAGCATCTTTTAGCAGTTAACATCCTTTAAAAATGAAACTGTCAGAGAAATTTCCTTTTCCTTCTCCACAAATGTGAGAGTTCCTACATCTATGTATTATTACTACATGTAAGATAAAAAATACTTGGATGGGCATGTTGTGACAGTGATATGGGGAGTTATCATTAAAGCTTATTATCAGGGAAGCACACTAGAAAGTAATGTTCAGTAAGAACTTTTGATTCTGGTTGCCTGACTTAGCACATTTTGGAAGACATGAAAATATGCAGTGGCTAAAATCTTATTTCAATTATGTAATACAGAAACTTTACATTTATCTAAAGAGCACGTTCTTCACTTCTGCGCTTTACAGCTCACTTTTAGCTCCTGAGAGTTAATAGTGCTAGAACTGACAGGCTATGACTGACTCACAAATTGGACTTCTTCCTGTTCTGACTTCCATCTGTGAAAGTTCCAGGCCTGGAGAAAGACCATTCTAAAGTAAGACGTCCACCTCCCAGTCCCTGTTATATAAAGTTACTGAGGAGTTTTTACAAGAGGTATTGGTTAGATCAGCTCCCTAGCTGTTCTAATATATGCCAGAGTCAGACAGCAGAGGATTAGAAAATTTTCTCTGCTGTGTCCTCTTCTATGCCTAAGCACAGCTTCTCTATGCTCAGACACAGTATACAGCCTATTATACTGCCTTTAACCTTGAAAAATTTTAATGCTATTTTAGGTCTGTTTAGAAAGGCTTCCTCTCTGCCTTGAAAAGTTGAACTCATGGGAACAAAGGTAGTTGGGTTTTCAGTTGGAAGGATACAAAAGCAGTTCCAATTTTTTTGATCCTCTGTAGCCTTTTTTTCTTTTTTGGTAACAAGACATAAAGATTTTGCTGGCATGAGTCTGGAATGATCTGCAGAGCTTGCTTTGTCAGTTGCTGTAATCCTCAGACACCTGGCCAATCATTCCAAATCTAAATTCTGTGGCAGTCTAATTTTTAACGAGCAGAAACATACCTTGTTCACAGGTACTTGCAATACTGTTACAATTCAAAAGCAACATCAATCTTGCCAAAGAGAGAAACTGACTGGCAGTTTTCCTTGTTCAGAATTAGAGGAATACCTGTGCAACAGGCAAACCTGAGGGCACAACTCATTTTTCAGCTATACTGCTGAAAGCCTCTTGTGACATTCTGGCACTTTTCCCCTGCTGTATACTGAAGACCCTTGCAGTACACGTTTCCTCTTCTACATTTAAAAGTACTCCATTTACCTTCTAAATTTATTTATTTATTTATTTATTTTGAATTAAACTATTTCCTCTGCATTTAACTGAAGCTACAAGAACAGTCAGTGTTTCATTAAATCCACTCCAAGCATGAATGCTGTTACTGCCTCTCCCCACCCTACCCCATGCAGTTACTACTGTTTTGGTTTTACAATAAGATGTCAGAGGAAAATATTAGGTGATAAAGGTAATTTCTACATTGTAGAATTGCAATAAACTATTTTCCTCCTCAGTGAGCCATGAAAACAAGTCTTGTGATTTTTCATTCATGAAGCACCTCCTGGCTCGGTAAGATCTCTTGATGGTGATCCCTTTGCTATGTGCAAGCTGTATTTTGTCAGAGTTGATGACAATTGCTAAAAAGTGCTTGATATGACGTGATATGACGTGTAATTTTTATAAGATATTCTAGTCAAAGGTGCTATGAATTCATGAAATTATAAGAAAAAAAACCCTCATTCTGTCCTAGTTTGTAGGTGCATCTGTATTAATGAAAAGCAAAAGGTTAGTTGTGTGTTTGATAATTACAGCAGCATATTTAGTGTCAACACACTGCAGGCTGGGTTTTCACACAGTGCTGCACTAATATGTTACTAATGATTGTAGTTACTGGGTAAAAAAACCCAAAGGCTTATGAAGTGTTAGCTGTGTAACTAAAGGAAAGGTTTAGCACCGATTGTGTTTTAACCATCCAGTGAGCCTAACACCAATGGCAAAGCATACTCCTCTCCTAACAGTAAGAATGACAAAACTTAATAGCAGCAGATGGGGCTGTATGATGAATGTGAATCAAGATGATTCAAGAATGTAGGAGTGTTTAAAACAAACTTGTGTGTTGTGTCACTCAGGACTGTTTACAATATTTGTAAATCACTGGACTGTTTTCAGTATCTACAAACCTCACATCTCTTGCAGCCTCCTTGCTGAACACATGTTGATCCTTCTTCAAGATATGTCTGCTAAGGTATCTTGTATGTCTCAAGCTACCCTATCACCCCACAGCGGACATGTTCTAACATTTAAATGTACTTTTAAAGACTAGTGATTGCAAACATGCTTCCACTTGGCCTCATATAGTAGAATCATCTCTTTTGTTTTCCAGCTGCAATACATTTCATATCTATACATTCAAATATCCCATTACGGTATGAAATAGGTATCAAGGAAACAGACAGTGACTGCTTCATTCCAGTTTCCAAATGACATTTCTTATCACAAAATACCCTTTGCATCAATACTGTCTGAGATCAGGCCTGTCTTGCTGCTTTTTTGACAGATTTTCATGGTTCTGGAATGTCTGTTAATAATAATGATTGAGCTGTATGGCATTTCTCAGGGATTAATGATTGGCTAGAAGGCTCCAGTGGCTCAGTGCTCAGCAAAGGACCATTATCCCTAGCAGGTAATCTGTCCCTGGGAAATACTCAGCGTTTGCATCAACACTGTTGTTATTAACAAAAAAAGAGATGTAGAATTGGGAACATGATCAATGCAATTGGTCTGTATTCTGATTGTTCTATATTCTTCAGATTTATCTCCACCTCTATTCAGATCAACACATTATCTTTATGTCTTGATTTTACTTTTTCAAAATCTCTTATTTGCATAAAAAGCCCATAACGATCAGTTATAATAGTTTATATAGCTAAGCACAAAACTGAACACCTATAATACACACACACATATAAAGAGTACAAGTGAGTGTATGTTCATGTAACTTCCCCTGAGATGTGGCTATACATTGCTACAGGATTTCCCCCAAACAGACTATTTTCTAGCTTAAAATTGAACTAAGAGCATTGGCATTGATCCACAGGTGAAAGTCTTGGTAAAAACAAGTGAAAGAAAACAGAGAAAAGTATAATAGCATTAATGGACTTTGTATAAGGTTTGTGCCTAAAATTAAGTATTTCTCTTAACTGAGTGGGTATGAGCTAGAGCAAAGACCATTCTATGAGTTCTAGTTGAAATGTTCATTCATCTTTTCCATTGTTTCAGATGCAAAATACATTAGTTATGGGATAAAACTGTAGAAAAGTAAGCAATTATTACTTACCCCAATGCAATGTCAAAAGAGAATTCTTGGAAGTGGAAGACCGTGGTGCTAAATTGTGAAATCTTCTGCATTTCTCAACTTCATAAAGATGACTGAAATAAATTAAAAGTTTACTGACTGACTTCATCAAGAAAAGCTTTATAAAATCACATAATGACCCAACACATGCCCCAGTACTCTGTGAAACACCCATTTCTCTCAACTAATTCTGTTGTTTCCTTTATTGTACTTAATGGTTTTATACTTTGATCATGTAGATACTTTCACATCTACATGTTACGAAGCCATTAAAACACATTGCAGAAGGCCAAAAAGAGGCTCATGCTCTAATCGAGAACAACTCTAGCTCATGATTATAATTCTAAGACATGATACAGTGAAAATAACTTTACTGCTACCATAATTAACAGGCACAGAGAGCATAACTAGAGTAATTTATGATTAATTAGGGCAACATGATTTATGGGTTCTGGGTTCTGTGGATCTGCTGGTGACATAGAAAACATTGCTTTTCAGGGAGCTTTGACTAACCCTCCTTTCTTCCCCCTTAATTCTGAGCTAGCACATGTCACTTAGCACCAGATCCTGATCTCATGGAACTGAATCAAGCAGATGTTTGATTATAGTCTAAACCCCTTGGTCTTGTTGTTCTTGGGGAATTCTTAAGGAAAACCCCAGGAACTCAAACAAGAAACTTGTACCACAGGCAGTCAGGATTAATAGCCCACAAAATAAATAATTTTATGATGTTATTATTTCCACACATGTACAGCACTAATCATGCAAAATATTTAAGCAGCTTTTTAGCAGTGAGATCAACAGGGAAACTTGCATAATCTTAAGCGCCTGACAGGACTGGACCTTGAATGTCTCTAGATGCGATAATACGTATGGAACAGATTCATTTTTGTGCAGTATTTTCAGCACAAACTGCATCACAAAGTGTTAAATAATAAATAATAGCAGAGAGAAGTATACACAAGGGAGGAATGATATGATTTCAGAGGAGACTTGAAAGGGGATGTTGATGAGGTGGAGGTTTTAAGAATTAAATATTAAAACCCAAAAAGGCTGGTTTTGGCTGAGACTGATTGTTTTTCTCTGCTGAGAAATAAAGGGGCTTTCTAACCTGCCTCCTGGACAAGGATGCAAGGCTTACTGTCAAACTGTGTGGTGGAATAATCACTGTACTTAGAGTCTATTTTTAAGAGAAGGCAAAGGATCACAATTAGCTAACTACAGCCCTCTCCGATTCCAGACGTCTGCTTTGTCCTCTGCCTCACCTTTCTGGTTATTTACCGCTCAACAACTCCACGTGAAGTTGACCAAAGTTCCTGGAGTGCCACAGCGACACAAACCCCTCGAGTGCAGCAGGGGGACAGGGCTGGTACCCCCGTGGCACGCCAGGGCAGCAGCCCCCCCTCCACACACAAAAGAGCCCTCAAGGCCACAGCGAGGCCACCGCAACCGTGTCCCCTGAGAGGAAAAGGGAAGCTGCTTGAAGCACCAGCCCACACTGCTAAGTCACGCCATAACGGGCTTATTTCCTACATTTGGTGGCAGCATAGTATTCAGGATAATATTATCACTACTTGTGCAGGTTGCTGCCAACCCAAAAGGTGGAGATGCGAGAGTTAAACGACAGAGCTGGGGAGTGAATCACCAAAAAGTCTCTTCCAGAGTCAGTTCTCTGTTTGGGGGGGAAGTTATTTTAATTCTGTGCCTCACAAACAACCCGCAGCCTCACCGCGTCCTCTGGAGCCAGCCTGACTGACATTAGAACAAGATTTTTAAACAAACGATGCGCCGGGGCAGCTCATGTTCAGCAGGCACGAAGGCAGCCCCACTCTGAGGCGTGCGGTGCGAGTAAGGCGGCACCTGTGCGCGGTGCGGCGGGCCGGGGGCAGCGCCCATGGCTTAGCGGAGGCACAGCCCCATGGACGCCGCTCTGCCGGCACCTGCCTTCGCCTCGCAGGTGAGTGGGGCTCGGCGGGGAGAAGGAGCGCTCCGCCGGCTGCCCGCTCTCCTCGCCCCCCTCAGGCGCCCGCCTCGGCGGGCAGCCCGCGGGCTGAGGAGGGTCGGGGACGCGGCCGCCCTGGCCCCCCTCAGGAGGCGCCCTCAGGAGGGCTTTTTGGCGGCACACCTGTGGGGAGCGCCCGCCTGGGCGGGAAGTCCCTTATGTAAGGGCTGGGGCTGAGGGGGGCGAGCTGGGGCCATGGCCATGGGGAAGCCGCTCAGCGGGGCGCAGCTGGTGGGGGGCGGCTCCGCAGAGGGGTGCAAGGGAAGGGGGCGCCTCGGAGGACGGGCTGCGCTCGGCGGCTCTGCCTCGTCCGCCCAAGCGGCTCTCCCCGGGCTGGATGCCACCGGGCAGCCGCCCCATCCCCATCCTCATCCACCTCCTCCTCCTCCCGGGCGGTGCTGGGCGGCGGGCTGAGGGAGTTGTGCGGGAGCAGCGCTCCGGGCCCCGCAGGGGGGCAGCGGAAGGTGGCAGCCCCCGGCGGCACCAGGCGGCGCGGGGAAGGCTCGGAGCTCGCCCGCTCCCCTCCACGCCCCTCGCCCCCGCCGCACTCCGCCTCCCGCCGCCCGGCCCCCCCCGGCTCGCCCCGCTCCACAAGTGCCGCCCGGGGCTGCGGGGCTGCGGCACCGCCCGGGGCCCGGCCCGGCCCGGCCCGGCCCGCCCGGGGCTGTCCGCGGTGCTGAAGGGCTGAGTGCGAGCGGCCGGCCGGCCCCTGACGGAGCCAGCCCCTGTATGTTCGTATTTATGTTCAGCTCCTGGCGCAGCGCAGCATCCAGCAGCTCGAGCGGCGGCGGCGGAGGAGGCAGCGCTGAGCCGGGGCTGGGAGGCAGAATGGAAGGTTTTCTTCGGCTGCTCTTCGGCTACTTGGTGGCGGACCTGCTCACGCTGGTGTGTCGGGCTCAGGAGAAAGCCGGCCAGCAGCTGGGGAGCTTCGTGGTGCTCTCAGGGGGGAACCACTCCAGCCTCGGGGAGCAGCTGGACCCCTCCGAGCCACCTCCCACCCCGGACTTCTGCAGGGGTTACTTTGACGTGATGGGGCAGTGGGACCCCCCCTTTAACTGCAGCTCGGGGGAGTTCATCTTCTGCTGCGGCACTTGTGGCTTCAGGTTTTGCTGCAAGTTCAAGAAGACGAGGCTGGATCAAAGCACCTGCACAAACTATGAGACGCCGCTGTGGATGAACACTGGGAAGCCTCCTTCCCGCATTGACGACCCTCTGCACGACCCCACCAGGGATAAAACCAACCTCATTGTCTACATCATCTGCGGGGTTGTGGCAGTCATGGTGCTGGTGGGGATCTTCACCAAACTAGGGCTGGAGAAGGCGCACAGACCCCAGCGGGAGCACATGTCCAGGTAAGGCTGAGTGCCAGGTAGCAGGGTTGTGTCGTGTGCCCCCCCTGCCCTCCTCCTCTAACACACACACAAAAAGAAGAGAGGAGCCCGTGTGTTCCTGCTAAACAAACACCTCTGGCCAGGCAGGCTGCATTCTCCTGCAAGGCGACCGACAGAGAGACCAACTTCGCAGAACAGGGCTCCTGTGGTTCCCCAAGCCCGGGTTATCAAAGTGCATGTATACTAAGGAAGACTAGAAATAACTGGGGAGTCTGCACAGACAGCAGTCCATTTTTATCTGCAGCGTCTGACCCTCTCCCAAGTAAGATCCAGCAAGTGTTCCCAGATACACTGTGCATGAATAGGAAAACAAAATCCTGCAACCAGCAATACTGAATTACAGAAAGCCTGATAGGTTCCCCCTTCCAACTGTTTCAAAGCTTGGAAAATGTTTTTACTTCTCAACTGAAGCATGTAAACAAATGTCATCTCACCCTCCCTCTCCAGCTGCAAAATGATTTTGGCAGGACCTTCCTTACTCCCCCAAACCTTGCAAGTGTGTGAGCTATTTGTAAAATATCTGAGCTGTAAAAATGAGCCAGGGTAGAAGGGAAAAGGGATAACAAAATGGAAAAGCTACTGTAGAATTTCTTAATATTTTCCAGTTACTGTTGAGAGGTAAAAAAAAAATGGAATATGAAAATCTTGCATCCATATACGTGTGTGTTATACTCTATATCCACAGTGTAATGGCTGAGTTACATCAAAGAGAACCTCCCCCACCTAGAGTTAGGCATGCTGTGTGCTGTCTACTCCAGATCCTGGCTGCCTAGTGGTGGAGAGGCAGGTGGGCAGCTCGGGACAGAGCCCAGTGGCTTTAACAACATATTTCAAACCAAGATTGTCATAGCAATTCAAAACCAAGGCATAACACATTTGTCAAGTTTGCAGTCTGTCTGATTTTTTATGCTAATCCCAAGCACATGAAAGTAAAGCAGATGGGGTAAAGGCATTGAAAAAGGCAAATAGCTCCATTAAAGAGTCTAAATCGATTCCAACATCTTGGGCAACTTCAGTGATGAAATGCAATTAAAAGGATGCCTTCTACTGGACATGCAGTGTGGCAGAAAGCTTCCTCTTGCCCTGCTAATGGTGTGGTTCACAATCTTTAAAGCTTAGATGAAGAATCTTCCTCTGAAATACAGCCCAAGAGATCAACTCAACACCTGGAGCCGTATTTTTTTTTTACTGAAGTTCCTATATGGATTTTTGTTTAACAGCTTATCCTGAAATGAACAGGAAAAAGCCACCAAAAATACTCCTGCAAATGCATCACCAGTTCACTAGCAATTATTTGCTATTTTTAAACTGGCTGATATGGATACTACTGAGAACAAAGCACATCACACAAATTTTAGTCAACTCAACACTGTGTGTCAGTGGTAAATCTGCAAAGACAGTTTTTGTTGAGCAAGGTATACTAATCCTTTAGACATTTTGAATATTCTGAACTACAAAATTGAGAAAAAGAAGAATACATGGATCCCAATTTCTTCTTAAAATCTTACTCTTAAACTAAGGAGCTGAAGCTTGTTTGGAAAAAGCTCTCCTTTGCTTCAGTCTATTTCTGTAGTGTCTTCATGCAGGCAAAAAGACAGGGCTTGTAACAGTTACAAAAACCAGGACAAAGTGAAGGTGTAGCCTTCCCCTTCCTAGCTTAAATAGATCGCATTTTCTACTA